TTAGCCTGTGGCTGACCCTGTCCTACCTGTGGTCCCCCATTCTGCTGTTGCTGAACAGGTGCCACATCCCTGGGAGCATCTGAACCACCCTTGTGCTTCTTCCAAGGCTGTTGTCCCTGGAATTTGCCCTTGTCATTCTGTCGGTGTCCGTTCCCATTCCATTTCTTAGCTGACTGATTAGTAGAGTCTCTGTCACCTCGCTTCTCACCCTTGGCCTGTCTGAAGTCTATGGTTAACTGATACTGCTGTAGAGCGGCATCTACCACCTGACCATAGGTAGTATAGGCTGGACTACCTGTAATAGCTCTCTTAATAGACCACATCAGTCCCTTGACAAAACTGTTGCGCTTCTTCTCCTCTGTATCCACCTCCTCCGGTGCAAAGAGAGACAAGCGTGTGAACTGCTGCTCAATCATGTTCCCCTACTGCAAGTTAAGAAACTCAGTCTTCATGGCTGCCCTAACTGCATAAGGAAAGTACTTATCTTCAAAGCATGCACTGAACTCATCATAAGTCAATGCCATCCACTCCTCTATGGTGGTAACTGACTCCCACCACTGCGCATCTCCAACTAGCTTGAAGTTAACAAGCATCTGCTCCTGAACCTCTGTGCACTGAACCAAGCGAAAATGTCACTCGATGTCCTGTTTCCACTGGTGAGCTCTCACATTGGTGGAGCCTGTGAACTCAGGTGGGCTCCCCTTTGTGAAAGAACTCCTGGCCTTCTCCCAAGTATCAGTCTGAACAACCGGTGCTGGTAACGGTGCCAGCTATACCTGAGCCTGATTCTGAAGTGCAGTTGTTACCCCTACTTCTATAGCCCGAACAATAAGGTTATTGAGGTGAAGAGGATACTCTGGATCTCCTCTCTGATCCCGAGTCTGCTGAACTTCCTCACACTCCTCATGGAAATGACCATCATCCTCCTAAAGCTGCCTACAGGCCGCTTCCCTTCGTCGCTGATTGTTCCGTCTGGTTCTTGCGTTAGCCATTTGTCAACACAGAAAGACAGACATCAGTACGATTTAACTGAATTGTAAAGGAATACAATGAATCCTAAACTTAAGCTCTAATCACGAGAAAACGCTACGCGGAAGTCTTATACGATAGAATCTTAGAGACACTTGAACCTAGAGTACTCTGATACCAACTGTGATACCCCTCGATTCTAGAGCCACGGTTGATCAAGTCTGAGCACAGATCCAAGGGATACCAAACAATTAATATTTAATGCGAACACAGATGACAAAATGAAATAAGAAATAGAATTTAAGCTAAAGGAAAATCTAAAGTAAAAACCTTTAAAATTAAATACTTAAAATCCTCCAATAATAAAGATTAAATAATCCAAACTCCAAAACCTTCAATTAATTAACAACTCGGGAATCCATCTAGTGGACCCCTAATAACAGTCCCAACTGTAAAATAAAACATAGCTAAAATCAATGTCCAAAACTAATAAGATAATAGTCCTATGTAGTCGGTGGAGTGGAAATCCGTATCTGCTCTGTACAATCAAACTCTAACCCTAGAACTGACGTGCACTTGAAAAATAAAAGAGTGGGTCAGGCCCACATACAAGTCCTGATCTACTACGATCCAAACAGGAATCCAATACGCAGAAACATCCTAGAAAGACTCAACAATATCTAGAGTGGTCCATATATGTATAATTACACACTACAGGACGCTCACTAGTCCAAAAGGTCTGTCTCAGCCTGAGTAGAGATACCATGCAAACCGCACATAATGTGGTCATGTGTACCTAGACCTACTAGGGAACAACACCTCTGTCCAGCTATTCATCCTATGCGATATACGTATCCTAACCATGGTCATAAGACTCAAGCACATATCATGGCATCATAACATAAATATATAAAGTCCGTGTCCTCCTTATACGAAGGATCCCTTGTCAATGAGGATTTAATTAATCCCAATCGTACTTGGATTATAATTGAGAGTTTAACATTAACAACCTTGGGCCGATAGCGACTTTACTCGGGCCTGCTCAAAATTAGGTTTCGATGGGCTAGTGGAAAACTATTGAAGTAATACCTTATTTTAATGACGTAGAGGATTCTTATTGGAGGGGGATTTTTCCCTCCACACCTATTAAACAGATGCGCTCAGGCTGGAAATGTTACTGCCCAGTATATGCTAGCAATGGTAACTAACCATTCTTGGTTCGTTTAGATGAGTCTATTTCAGATGTTAAATCTTTTGCTCTCTTTCACTATTCTTCAATATTTAATTGACCAACTACTATTAAAATTGTGGAAATGTTTTTTCTTTTTTTCTGCATTACAGACAGTACTGGTGAGTCGCAGCCTAGTTTCTGTCAATCATGTTAGGAGTACTTTCATGGCCCATTTTATCGCGGACCATGCATCTACTAGTAAACTTGTGAGGTTGTTCTTATGCCGATGCAGCACGCTTGACCTCACTGAAATGAGTCTACATTTGTTCAAATACATCTTGTATTTGAGAGGGAGTCAAACTCAGATGACTGTCACGGGCTCTTTGATTATGTTTGTGGGATGTGTACAATTGTTAGCTTTATCCCAAACTTTGAGAATTCCAAGGAAACCAGAGAATTGGAATATATATTCCAAGATTTGGAAGAGATTCCAAAAGAGGCGGGAAAGGGGAAGAGTGTATTTGGTTCAAGGTGTTTTGGCCTGGGAGGAAATCTGTATGATGAACTTCACATCTTGAAGAAGTTGGGTGAAATAATTAGGGTGCATCTGAGACACAGTTTGACCTTCTATTTGAAGAGCTGAAGGCAGCATATAGGACTGTGACTGCAGATTTCAAATTGTCTCGACTTACTGCCATTTCAGCTTTTGATGGCTTGTTTCGGCCTTGTTGATGTACTAAGGCTCCGTTTGTTTGGATATAAAATACTTTTTGAACAAAATAAATTTATTTTTTTGGTAAACTATTTTCTTTTATTTTTACTTTTTCGTGTTTGGCAAAAGTCTAAGCCGAGGTTGAGGTCAAGTCCATTGGGTGGGGTGTATAAAATAGCTTGCCAAATAGCTTATTGTAAATTAATGAATAAGTTATTTTTGTTAGTTTTTAATATTTATTTCTTCGTAAATATTTTATGACAACCAAACACCAGAAAACACAAAATATTTTTCGAAAAATATTTTACGCTTAAACAAACGAAGCCTAAATGGCACATCAAAGGACATCTAAACCAATGATATGATCTCTCCTCTCCAAATAGTGTGGTCGTTGTGAGAAAGATGGTAGAATATCTTAGAGTGGCTTTGACGATTATGCCCTTTTTCTCTCCTCTCCAAAAGGAAACCAAAAGAAAATATGCTTCTAAGAAGCTAATGGTTGAAAACATCTAATATGACCCACTCACAAGTGATGGAACTGTGATAGTATTCATTTCTCAAAGAATTGGGTAACATTAATGTTTGATACCTTTCTTCATCTTTTCGCTAGCTAGGACCATATATATCTTTCCCTCCTACAAATAAAATAAAGAATGCTAAATGTTTAATAATTAAATAAATAAAATGCTCTCCTACAAAAATAATAAAGAATGGTAAATGTTTAATAATTAAATAAATAAAATGCTTGTACATTTTCAAGCAACATACACAAATAATTTCAATTTGATCATTCCATTAAGGGAAAAAACAAAAAAAATAAAATAAAATAAGGTTCTCACCATTTTTTTATGGTGGTGTAAATTTCTTCACGGTTGCCTCTACAGTCAAGCACTGACCTAGGGGTGCACAAAAATCCTGTCAAATCACAAATCCAAACCAAACCAAACCGGACTGAACAGATTGGTTTGGTTTGCGAATGGTTTGGTTTGGTCAGGATTCTAAATTTGTGAAACCGTAAAGTTACGGTTTTGTCACGGTTTGAGATCCTTTAGGACCGAACTAGACCGAACCAAACCATTATGTTATATTTATTTATGAATATATATGTTAAATTATAAAGTATATATAATAGAATATAATCCTACAATCCAATTCATTTAGAAGTTTGTAGCAATTATCAATCACATGGTCCATTCTTAATTATCTTAGATATTATCAATTTATTAAATATATTTTTTTTAAGTGGTTGAATTGAATTGTGACGGATTGTTTGTTATTGAATTAGTAATTCTAAATATATTAGGTTATTACCAATTATGAATTTATTTATTTCAGTTCTAGAAGTGATAGAGAAGAATGAATTAAAATTTCTGAATACATTAATAGTTATGATTCCTGAATGTGTTGGTAAGTTGGTTTATTGTTGTGCATGTGGATAATATGAATACTTCTATAACAATAAAGAAAAAAAAAAAAAAAAAAAAAAGAACCGTTGAACCGAATCGAACCAAACCAAACCGGTTTTTCACGATTTGGCTTGATTTGGTTCCTTTGATCAAATGGTTCGGTTTGGTTCCAAATTTTATGAATCTGTTAAAATTGGTTTGGTTCCAAAAAACTCTTAAACCAGTCCAAACCAAACTGTGTGCACCCCTACACTGACCCATGTGGTTTCCCTCATTGAATTTTTTTTATTTGCATTATGTACCTATCATTTTTAAAAAATTGTGTAAATGCCCCCACTAATATGAAAAAACTCTAATTTATAAGTCTGCCCCACTGATATATTTGGATCTAATTTAATTCTGTCTCTTCATATATATATATATATATATATATATATATTGATGAAAATCTATCTTAATATAAAATTTCAAACAATCGTAAATGTGACAAACAATTGCCGACTTTGGTGGTGTGTTTTTTTTTTTTTTTGGGTAAAGGTAATCTTGACTTTGGTGGTGTTGAACATGAATGGAAGTGGCTTTAGTTGAGAGAGAATAAGGAATAAGGAACAAAAAGAATGGGAATACATTAATGCCCTCAAAAAGTATCCATACGTATATGTTCTGTATTCTTCAGGTACTTTTCTGTCCAGGACAAAACAGAAGACTTTGATGCAGGGGAAGCTATTTAAATGCTAAAATATGGAATGAAACTGATATTGCAAGCATGAGAGAGAGAGAGAGAGAGAGACAGCACTTTGCTTCCTCAATCCATATGACTTCTTTTTGTTTTTTTCCCTCATAGAAACCAGTTTCTGTATGCAAAGCATATTTCACCTTGCTTGCCCTCCTCCACTGCTCATGTGCTTATTAAATTCATACATGACTTCTCTTCCAGGTTTTTTTTTTTGAGTAAACAGGGGGCCATGACATAAATATTCTTTTGCAATCAACAGTTCCTCTTGGAAGATCGAATGAACTAGGCAGAAAATCGACAGCTTCGTAATCAAACAATGGAGAGTTTGATTAAACAAAGAAGGTACTTCCAACCCTTGGCATATTTTGTTATATATTTTTGATTTTTCGCAGTATATTCACAAAGGAAAAAAAGATTCACCTTATCACAAAATGAGAACTGCACTAGTTGCAGTAGGAAATGTTTGGCATGATTAAATTGGCTTCATTGCAGAAATGTTAGAACAATCCTTGGTAAAAATTATGATTTACGTTTTTGCCTCACCATCAACTTTCGTGTTCTGTTTTTCCTCTTTCATTTTTCTTCTACCTTGTTCAAAATGTTTATGACCTGTCTAATTAGGGTGAGATTTACTGGGCTAGAACAAGATAACAAGGAAGATCCCAACAGCATTAGAGAAAGAAGTACTCCACCACAACGAATCGAGTCCTTTGAAGGAGGTACTTGTGTATTTTTGCATCACATCTTAAATTGTCATTCCTTTTAGGCCCCGCCCAAACCTTTGAATATGTGGAAAATTAATTCCACATTGGTGACAAATTCAATTTTCATCATGGCATGAATAGCTAAGCATTAGTACATTCAAAGAAATTATTTAAGAAAAGGGGGACAAAAAAAGCAACAAAACTTTGATGGTTGTTTTTGTAGAGAAAAAGACACAGAATTGGTTCCAGAGGCAGTTTTCTGGACAGATGAATAGGGATTATGACTCCAGCGACGGTGAGTTTGCAACTGCAGTCGCAGCTGCTGCATTTGCCATCCATTCATTTGAAGAATCCGAGTACCAAAAAACATCGAGAGATGGCCTTAAAACCCCCATCACAAAGGTGAAGACTCGAAAAGAAGACTCCTCTAGGCTGCCAGAAACCGGTAGAGTCTCTAGGCGATTCTCTGGCAAAGAAGAAAAAGAAGCAGGTAATTTTCAACCTCAGCTACCTACATAATTTGTGACGATGATATGCTGGTATAGACTAAGGTAGTGATATGAACAGTTGAAGCTTCCACAGGAAAGCCAATGGGGCAGGATAGCAAATCAAGTTATCCATCCTATGTGAGTCCTGCACCATCATCAGCTGGAAACCAAATGCAGAAGGTGAATTCAACAAGACTTGGAAGTCCAGAAACCAAAGCAGATGCTTGGGAAAAAGCTGCTATGGGAAAGATCGAAAGGCGGTATGTATTCCTCTTTTTGGTATTTTAGTTGATTGGTATCTAAAATCAGATGACATCACAGACTCAAGTAACCTTTTTTATAAATTAAATTACAATCTAATGAGAAATTTTTAGATGGTCCCGGGACCTGACCCATCATCATTGGACACGTAAGCGAAAAAGCTGAAAAACAAACACATTTCCGACACAATTGCTTACGTGATTGGTCGTGGGACCATGTGTTAACTTCTCCAAGATTCATATTGATAACAAAAGGTAACTTGGAAATTTGCAGATATGAGAAGATGAGCTCTGACATTCTTGCTTGGGAAAATGAGAAAAAGGTGAAAGCCAAACTTCAAATGGAAAGGAAACAGGTTTTCTTCTTTTTGGCTTCTCTTTTTATTTTTTTTATTTTTTTTTTCAAACATTGGATTGTTTTTGACAATGTTGAACACCAATTACTGGAACTGCTCACAGATTTTTTGAAACTGCAGAGTGAAATAGAGGAGAGAAGAGCAAGAAACTTGCAACATTACCAGAAGAAGCTAACAGGGATTGATCATATTGCTGCAGGAGCAAGAGCACAAGCAGAAGAAAAAAGAAAAAATGAAGAGTCTGTGGTGAAAGGCAGAGCAAAGAAGATCAGGTCAACAGGAAAGGTTCCTGTTAGTTGTTTCTGCTGCTGAATGTCACAAGGGAGGAGCCTAGAGTCATTTCGACTTGGGAATTCCACAGAATTCTATGCAACACTATATGATTGTATATAGAAGTTATAAACTTTCTTACACTCAAAAATTTGGTCATGTTAATAAGGCAATGGTACAATATATTTGTTGGGGAATTTATGGATTTTATTCGTACATAATGTAATAATATATACAAATGTTCAAGAATTACAAATCTTACAATATGAGTTCAAAAGAAAACACTAACAAAATTACCACCCTTTTAATAATGAAATAAATAATGCAACAACATCAACAAATAGAATGAACATCGATTTTTCAATAATGAATGAAAGAATTACAATAGTCACAAGTAGAATAAAATTAATTTGTTAAAATTGGCTTACTCAGTTTGAGAGCCTAACTATCATTATATATATAAGGAAAACTACAAATATGGAAAGAGAACCAACAAACACAATTCCTTATAAGCCTAAATATACACCTAAAATGAAAACTCAATAAATCTACCACAATCACTGAGTCAACCCAAAGATATGATTTTCAACTGTCCCCATCAAGTTGGAGCAAATATGTTGACCATGCCTAGCTCGACTATGGAAGACTGAAAAAGAGAAAGCCCAACAGACTTTGTGAATACATCTACAGTCTGTTCTGAAAAGGGAACAAAAATAGGATAAATGATACATGACCGGACCTTCTCTCAAATGAAGTGAATGTCTACCTCAATATGTTTCGACTTTCCATGTAACACGGAGTCAGAAGCAATTTTTTTTTTTTTTGCAGCTACACTTCGGTGACGGGCCAAAATTCTTTTGCAGCTATACTTTGGCGGCAGACAAAAATTTTCTTTGCAGTTACACTAAGGACAAGCCGAATTTTCTCTTGCAGTAATAACTCGACGGGGATTCAAAGTTTTCTTGGAGCAACACCTTAGAGATGACCAATAATTAAATTTTCAAAGACACTTTGGTGGTGAGACAGAATATTTCTTGGCAGCTACAGTCTGGCGACAAACCAATTTTTTTCTTCACAGCTACACTTTGCCGATGGATCAAATTTATTTCTTGCAGCTACAATTTGGCGATATACCAAATTTTTTTTTCGTAGCTACACTTTAGTAGCAAGCCAAGTTGACAAATTGTGACGAGCCCTTTTGATATCTTGTGACGAGTGATAGCAATAACTTATTAGCAAGCAAAATTGATTAAAGTGGCCAACACCTTTGATATCATGCAACGAGCACACTTTGTTATCTTTGTAGATTTTATTTATTTATTTATTTTGGTAGATTGAACTTTAAGCAAACTTCTAAGTTGCCTACTGTAACGACCCAAATCGAGGGATCCGGATCGCTAATCGGGTCTTTACCCGGACCTGAGGTGACACAAGGGTACTATGGTCATTTCACATTAATTCAATGCTTCAAGGTCCACTAAGGGTAAAACCGTCATTTACTAGAGTCAACTAATGATTTAAGTGTGATCTGGGGACCTTATGGTCGTCCCACGTCATTCTAATGCTCCTAGAGTTCATAGGGGTATAATGGTCCTTTTACATGGTTAAATAATGATATTAAACCCAAAAGGGTAAAATAGACCTTTACCATGGTTAAATAGTGACATAAAAGACTTGGGGGTAAAATAGTCATTTTTGGGCAAAATATAGCATTTGTACCCTTTAGGGTTAATTCTGTCATTTCTAGGGGTCTTTCCGTACTTTGGTTAAATTTTAGGGCCAAATGAGTAATTATACAAAAGTTTGATGCTAAATAGTGATATTTGGGTTCATCCAATCAATTAGATGTGTCATCTAATCGATTAGATGACCCTTCCAATGAGCATGCAAAAACCTAACACCCATCTAATCGATTAGATGATGCATCTACTCGGTTAGATGTTGCCATCGAACCGGTTAGATGTTGCCATCTAATTAATTAGATGGTGAACCTAGAAAACCCCAGCTATTGCAAAGCCCATCTGATCGACTAAATGGGGCATATAATCGATTAGATGGGTTCCAAACTTAATTTAACTGGTTAGATGACCCCATCTAACAGTTTAGATGATACCTAAACCCAATGTGATCGATGGGATCACTTCCCTGCCTTGCTCAAAGTCACTCCAAACTCATGAACATCAACCATAAGCTTATAGACATCATCTAGCAACAACAACAACATACCAATTAATCAAAATAACCACTAATTTGTCATTTAAAATTTGAATTCATTTATGTTCCATTTCATACATAACCCAAAAGAATAATTGCATCCCAAAAGAATAAGTCTACAAAATAATGAGGCCTCCTTAGCCAATATTACAAAGCTTTACATGAAGCTAATCAAAATAATATAATTTGTATTACAAGATCGTTTCATAAGCTAGTCTATTACAAAATGTTATCTAAAGTCCATTCCTCTACGTCTAAGCTTGCGAGGGTGCATCGTCAACAATTTTCTTGCCATGTCCTAAAAATATTAATAAGGGGGTGAGCACACTCAATAGAAGGTGCCTAAAACACACCTCTTAATGACTCCGTGAATCCAAACAAAGCATAGAATATAAAGAAACGGGATCATATAATTTCAGAAGGGTAAACATAATAACAACTAGGTCATCTAATCATATCTACAATGTAATGCCATTGGGATGCAATGTGATCTAATATCACTCTCCTATTTCGAAAACATTTCCGTTTTACCGTTCCAAACCGTTAATGCAACCCGGCCCATAGTATATCTATGGCGCCACGAGAGAAGGGCTGGTTAGCTATCCCTGACCACATAGCAACTCCAAGACGTCATTTAGGACTTAGGTTGCTCAACCACACTAGAGTCTCTCCCTAGTTCCTTCTAGATCATATTAACGCCACGGACCACTAGGCAACTCCTAGGCGCCTGGGTTTTCGCAAACCACTTTCAAATCTTTTCCCCAAAATAATTTTCATTTCATTTCAAAATAATTTTTCCTTCTCTTGCCCAATGCCATGCATGAGTGCATCATGCCTTTCAATGCCAAGTCAAATATACATTTTTATATATCTCATTCAACCTAAACCACATAGCATTCTTTATAACAAAATCCGGAAGAAACATATCATGCTTTCATATAACAAGAATCCAACACATTAAGCATATACAACATGAAATAACTTCATATAAGCATGCTTGTTACACAATGCATAAGCTATTACCTAACATGCACATCATATACAATATCATAACCATATTTCAAGAATTAGCTACAATTGAACATGCCCTACATCAATTATAGAAAGATGAATCACAACAATCAAAGAAATATACCTTAGGAATCCCCTACCTCACAAATAAAGGAAAAGCCCCAAAAATAACCCTAAGCTCAAAATCCCAAAGTGCCCCAAATCCAACTTTGATCCGATTAAAACGAAGCTCTCGTCATGCTCGTAAACTTTGCCTTCAATGGCAAAGTTCAATTTTTAATAGGGAAGTGTAGATCTAAGCTTTTTGTGTGGAATAAAGAAAAAGAAAAAGAAAAAAAAATAGAAACCAGAATGAGAGAAATAGCTACGTGAGAAGAAAGGAGATGATAATGGTCATTACATATGACTAAGGCAAATGGTGGGTCCTACAGTTATAAAATATATCTTTTATCACATTAAACACATATATACATGATATAATACACATCTAAACATATTCCTAGACAAATATGCATCAAATAATAATATATGAAATGCAACAAGTCCCGAAAAATAATCCCTATACACTACAACTCCGGTTGCGGGTCCCGCCGGGACCTCCCGGCCTGAAAAATTGAAAAATGCCGAAATAACAAACGATGCATTTCTAAGAGTCCCGAATTCAAACAAATGTCTTAACCAACTCTCGCAACTCACCTGACACACCCCACGGTGTCTGGCATGCAAAATGAAGCAAAACTAAAATAATCTAGAAAAATCCCAAAAAATGGAAAATAAGAAAAATCAGAAACATTACACGTACGTTCCCTAAATAGCAATCAAGTCATCACGTAATTCACAATATGTATATTTTTTTTTGGAAAGTTTAAACTCGTGTCAAGGAGTTTTTTTTTTTTTTTTTTTGGAAGACAGTTTAAACTCAAGCCAAGGAGTTTTTTTTTTTTTTTTTTTTAAGACAGTTTATATATCAAGGAAATATTATTATTATTATTATTATTATTATTATTATTATTTGGTTTCAAGCAGACAGTTTATACTTGTGTCAAGGGAGTGTCATCGATAGTTTATGCTCGTATTGGGAGCACTTGATCTTTAACTATTCTTCAACTTTGTAAGAATCTTCTTGTACTTGAAAATAGATTTTCTTGACAAGTTTAGTCTTCTACTATGGTTTCCTTGACTTGATGCCCCCTTCAACTGACCACCTTCCATTGAAGTCATTGTAGTAGCATGATGCGTTTCTTGATTCAAGTCTTTGGAAATGATGCTTGTAATGAAAGATGTAGCTACTTCATCATCTGAACTAGGAATTATTTTGTCTTCCTCTTCAAACTCACTTCCCTTGTCTTTAAGAAGATTATCGGGTATATCAGGAATGTCTTCCCTAGCACCATGATTTTTTATGCTAAGCTCCATGTCTTAGGCTCAAGTAACAAGCTCTTCAAATGTGCGAGGCTTAATACCTTGTAAGATATAAAGAAGCTCCAAGCGCATGCCTTGCATACATGCTTCAACTGCAAAAATTTCAGACAAACAATCTTTACAATCAAAACTTAGAGATCGCCAATGGTTTATGTAGTTTACCACAAGCTTGTTCTTCATTTGTTTGGTGTTAGTAAGCTCTAACATGCTCACTATTATACGAGAATTGTAGAAACGATTGAGGAATTCTCATTCCATCTACTGCCAACTATCAATACTCCCAGCTTTGAGGTCTGTGTACCAATCAAAGGCATTCTCTTTGAGAGAACGAACGAATTGGTTGACAATGAGGTCTTTGTCTATACCAGCATTGCTGCAAGTTTCTACAAAGTATACGACATGTTTCTTGGGAATGCCTCTTCCGTCAAACTGTTGAAGCTTTGGAGGTTGATACCGAACCGGCATTTTTAAGCTGTCATTTTTTTTTTTTTTTTTTGTAAAGCTTTGAGTACATGCGAGCACTTTGACGGATGCCACTATATTATTCTCTTATGCAATTCACTATCATGTCTTGAAGTTGTTGGACACAAA